AATAAACATGAGTCCCATCATCGGATCATTGCGCTCACATAGAGGTTATCTGCAAAGTCTCTACAGAGAGATGAACAGGGACACGCGAGGAAGTGTCTCCATCCACCTTGCACCAACACAATCCCTCCAAGTTAGCATCCTCTGAAAGATGAGGAAAGGAGATATTTACCCACATTGTCTTCAGCTGTTATTTTATTTTTTTTTAACCTGCAAATGCAGCACAGGTGCTTTAAAGTGCATTTGGTGGCCACATTAGCATAGAGCTAAGCCTGTGGTTCTCCAGCTCCGTTGCCTATCTTATTCCCCAGGTATTGGGTTGGCTTTCAAATTCCTGCTTTCATTTAGAAAGTCAAACTTGGAGGTTTTTAACTGGTTGTTATGAAGCCTGGAGAGCAGGAAGGTCCATTCCCCCTCCCTGAAATTGCTCTACAAAGAGCATCCGTGTTGCTTGGTCAGCCCGGCTGCGCCACTGTTTTTCCTTTCGCTGCCCTTACCTGTGGCCTCGTGCCTCCCAACGCACTCCAGGCATGTGTGGAAGCAGCAATAAAACGCGTCCTGGATGGTTGGGTTGTATTTGTAGAGTATGCTCCAGATTATTGGCCCCTGTCCCAGATTTCAGCGGTGAGGGTACAGGAATGCTGAGATACGCTGGTTCCCGTGCTGCGCTTGCGGAGACATTAATCGGGAAAAACACCCTCTTGGAGCAGGCAAACGATTAATACTTTGTGGCAAACCCTCCACTGCCATTAACAAAAGGTGACAAACACTCAAGCCTGCAGTATAAATAGAGCAAGGCGGATGCACTGGGCTTTCAAGTTCAGCCTTATTGTGTTACGTGGTCCTGGGTAATGAAGAGGACCTCCCTGCGGGCTGGGTTTCCTTTTGTCCCTATTGGGGCCAGGAGTTGTTTTACACTGTGAGGTGTAAAGTATCATCTTCTTGCTGCAGGGGGGGGGGATGCTGGCTTAAACCATCCCAAGGAAACTCTTCCTCTGAAAGCTGGGGGAGATAAGCACGGATTTGGTGTTGGAAAGGCTCTCCAGGTCCCCTTCCCATCCGCAGGATTAGTTGTATGTGTGTCATTCCTGAGAAATGCTGCTCTGACGTGTCCTTGTGGCCCTGCGGCCATGGGCCCTGCTCAGTTCTGGGCTGAGTGCCTTAGTTAGTCCCCTGCCGTACTTTAAATGTTTGCAAGTTGTTACTAATACCAGATTTAGGGAAAAATCTGATAAAAAAAAAAAGTGTAGTCCCACAGTGGTTGAGGAGTTGTCATTGCAGGGGGATCCTAGACCAACTTGTCTCAGGAGTAGCTTTGATATTGATTGCACATGGAGGCTTTTATCCTTTTTGAGGGCTTTTTAGGACATGTTTTTTTTTTTCGTAGTTCTCAATTTCAGAGTTTGAGCAGACATGCAGCAAGAGCAACCCTGTTCGCAGCAGCACAAATCTCATGGCATGCAAGAAGCAGCCCACACAGATTTTAGCTGAAGTGCCACTCATAGGGTTGTGGGGATACAGAAACAAGCACTAGTAGGCATGGTGGTGATGGGCTTACAGTTGAACTTGATTATCTTAAAGGTCTTTTCCAACCATAATGATTCTGTGATCCTATAAGCCACATGAGTAACAGCATGCCACGACCAGCAGGAGTTAGTTATCCCAGAGCACTAAAAAAGCAGCATTTCCTTGAAGAGCAAACACTGCACATGAGCAGAGCTTTTTTTTGTGTGTGAAATATTCCAAAGAAATATGGGTTATATTAGTGTCACAGAGGCACAAAGAAAATCTCATTAGAAACCGCTGGCAATGATCTGTTATAAAGGGAAGAGAAGCAATTTGTGAGCTCGCTGAAAAATCAAGTGCATCCCTGTTCCACCCTTGTCCTCGCAGCCTGCTGCAGGTCTAGGACACGGCGACTCCTTGCAAGAAGGCTCTGTGCCTCCTTGCTTGGTTAGCTCTTATACATCACTTTTTATTTGCTGGGAGACTTGAAAGATAAGCAGCAAACACTCTTGTTCCTATTTTAAACACCCAGGAACGACAGTACAGAGAAATAAAATGACTTGCTCGGGGTCACAGAGCAATTTTGTGGCAGAGCCAGGAGCAGAGCCCAGCTCCCTTGCTCCCGAATCTGTGCACTGACCTTCATCCACCCTTGATTTTATCACCTTCCGGGGAAGTCTGCTGGCCTCTTCCAGTTGACTTCCATGAGAGTAATGGCCAGCATCAAATGGAGTCACTGGGAATATCAATGCAAAAGAAGCCAATATTAGATGTGAGGAAAACACTGACAGGAAAAAATAGATTTGAGAAGAAAGGAGTAAGTGCTAGTGCAGCTTCCAGAATGCTATTCCCCCTTTAATTTGTGTCTGGTGAAAATTAAAAAAGAAAAAAAAAATAGATTGCTAATATTAATAGATGAAATGAGTCTTGAATTTTATAATAGTGGAGGAAATGAAAGGACTGAAGTAATATTGTGTTGTTAACTGAGATTGTAATAATGATTCTGTCCTCAGTTACTGTATTTTTTCCATAGAAAGTAAATCACTAATGAGGGTGGGGGGAGATATTCTTATGGGGATAGATTTTTAAAAGAAAAGTTTTGTTTGTCACCAATTTTCTAGAAACCTTGCAAGATAGTTAAAACTAGAAGACCAACATCTCAAAACCAGTGCCCAATACATGATTTGCTGGAATAGTTAACACCATGTGGGGTAGGATGGAGTAGTGGATCTTCCACTCAGAGCAAGCTGAAGGGGATGGAAGAGAGAGGTCAGGCACTTCTTTTCTGATGGAGAAAGAAAGGCCTGAAATGTCCCTGATTTGCAGTGTTTTTCTGGACATTTCTCAATTTTGCAAGAAACACTTTCTACGAGGTCATCCCTTGAGGGTGGAGGGACCCCAGCCTTTGCAGATGCAGGAGGAGCCTGCCAAGGACAGCACCTTAAGTAGTGTTTCCTAACCAACCCACCCTTCTTGGCCACTTTCTGGAGTCCTCTCAGCCAAAAAGAGGGTTTGGGGAGCAGGAAGCTGTTCTGCACCAAGTAAAAATGTCAAAGTAGAGAGAAGATCACAGCTCCATCCAGTACGTTAAGTCCATGGTGGCCATTCTCTTCCAATGGTCCTGTGGCTGTAGGATCCAGGAGATGCTTTTAGATGCTTTTGCAGAGTGTGCTGCTGAGATGCTGCCAGTGCCAGAGCTGAGCTGCCATTTACTTACAGCAGTGGAGAAGAAAAACCTCCCTGGAGCTGGGATGTGATGCCTTAGAAGAAGTAAACATGGAGCATGCAGGAGATGGGGAATTGAAATGCTACAATTCCCTGGATTCCTTAACGTGTGCAGCACCCCAACCCCAAACACAGAGCACTGCAAATTAAATGACAGTTTTGTATTTAAAATATCAAATCCAGAAAGGGAAGCAAACATTAAACAATATTGTATGAGAGCCTGGAGTGTTACAGCAAAAATTAAGAATATGTAATTAAAAGTACAATGCAATTTATTTTTATATCATTCTTCGTTCACATCAACAAATCTTATTACTTATCCAAAAATGTAAAGCAGGCTGCAAACTAATTTAAAAGATAAAGACAAAGTGGCTATTGAGTCCTATGTTTCTTGGTCCCTTAGATCTGGCAGCAATCATGATTTAATATTTTAAATCCTCTAATAGGTTATAGTGCTGAAGAAAAGTGCATTAATTACTATGAGAAACCTAAAAAAAATCTAATTAAGAAGAATAAAATCTTTCTTATTGACTGGGAAAAATAAAACTATGTAAAGGGAAATGAAGGATGAAAAATTTGAAGACACACCAATATTAATAAACGTGTTTTGTGCGGGATGGAAAACATGGTTCTGAAGGTGCTGGGGCTGTGGATTTGAACCTGCAGGAGATCACAGTTTTCCATGGCTAATGTTCTTTCTCCAGCATTTCCCTCCCTGGAAATATCTTCTAATTAGCCACTGTGCCTAATTCACCACTGAACTGCATTTGGTCTGAGTTCTTGATTCTTGCCACCCTAAGAAGTCACAGAAGGAAGATTTAAGTCCCATGTCCCAAACCATGGGGCACATCCTTCCTTGGGGTGCTAAGGGAAGAGGCAACACAGCTTGGGATGAACCTTGCACACAGTAAACTAGCCATAGCCCTTTAAAATAATACAAATGCCTCCTCCCCGTAGAAAATACCCTATGTTGATTTGTCAGCCCCAAGGAAGGCTGACCCTTGGAGCTCCACATGTAGTGCTGGAAGAGGTTTGTGGGCAACTGATGCTCCTGTTTTGCTCATTCAGGGCATCCCAAGGGATTTGGGGCTACTGCTGAAGCAAGTGCAACTCGAACCAGAGGGAAAGAGCAGCCAAAAATCCTCAGAGCTTTTTGGCCATTTTTTTTCCGCAGTGGTAAAATTAGATGGGACCATGTGTGGTTTTGTCATTGCCAGCCTGGATGCCAGGATTGTGATTTTGAGCCTTCATCCTGATTTGGAATAGCGATCTTTCTCTTTTATGGTCTTGAACATTCTTAGGATGGGAAAACTATTTCCTTCTCAGCTTTGCTGTTCTCATTCCTAGAGATACTGCTGATGTGGAAATGTCTGGAGATGGAAGAAAGCAGAGAGAGGATGCCGCAGGGTCAACAGCTACACTGTATGTTTAGAAAAATACAAGTCATTTAATTACTTCAGCTGCTATTAGTATTATTAATGCCTTTTTGAGCCAGAAGATATCCTTTGATCACTTATATTTGCTTCACGTGTAAAATAAGCCACAGCAATTTGGTCAGTTATCTTGTACCAAATCCAACAACTTGTACATCGTTAATATCTCCACATATGAAAAATCAGTGTTATTAATTTTCAAGAGCCCTTCCAGGATTACAGATCTGCCTCAAAGGCAAGGGGGGCCATCTCCGGAATAAGGACTGGAAGACTCAGTGAGCGTGTGTCATGGCAGAGAGGAGCAAGGGAAGGGAAATTTTTACCATTGATGCCAATATAGACATACTCTTGCATGGAAAGCCAACACAAGGGCTTCAACCCTGCAGTTGTACCACAGCAGCTCTGTTTGGATGATATTGTCACTCACACTTTGCTGGAAGGTAAGAGCATTTCCTTTCCCACCTTCACCCCCATGAAGCAAAGTCACAAAGCAGGGAGCGTGGTCAGGGGTTATTTGGAGGCATTTGGGTTGGCCAAGGGTTATTTGCAGCACAAAAACATCTGAGCAGTAATGCCTTTTGATTAACAAAGAATTTTTATGTTAAGCTTTCCAAGATCCACCAGGATTATCTCATGAAGTATATCACGTATACTCTGTGCTAGATACCTACAGAAGGATTGCAGAAGCAACATTTAGTTATAAAATGCAGAAATACGCAAAGATTGGATGTACCCTCTCAGGGCAAAATAGGAGTTTTATTTCTATAGGGTGGCGTTCAAAGGGCTCAGCTGGACTTGGACCATGCCGTCCTGTAAACACTTTGCTAATATGAGGTTCTGTAGACATGAGAACGTTGTATAGTCAGCTCTCATTTTCTGCACAGACACCTGGAGCTGATGCAGCCCCAACGCACAGCTCATGTGTTGCACATTGTGTCCTGTGTCCATGTCTGTTCATGTGATACACGTCACATTTGGGTGCCTGCAACTACCTAGGGGAGGATTTAGAGTCCTACTTATGGAAAGAGTACAATATGTTTTAGCTGCCACCTTTCTACTTCTCTGGGATCCTTCAAACCAGCTGCAGCTCTGTGTGAAGCACCACAGGATGCAGAGAGCTGCATTGACAGGAGCTTGAGATGTACACAGAGCTTGAGGATTGGGGAAGACCATGAGGGTGATGGTGGGATTAGTTTCACCTCCTTGCAGGCATCTGCAGAATAGACATGTGCCTGTGAGCTGACACACTGCACTTGCCTGACAGGAAGAAGAAATAGGTGTTTTTATTATGCAATTTGTCTGTTCTGTTTTAACCATCTACTTTAGGACAAGATGAATCACCGTAGACTCCATTGACTGTATTGACGGACTTTCCATTGACTAGCAACGGAGCCACAGGTGACGAGCTCAGCTGTAGATTTGTACATTTAGTGAGGTGAATCTACCCAATGTTTCAAGCCCATACTTAAGACTTAACTGCTCTGAGTACCTCAGGCCTTGGCATTTAAGTCAACAAGTTCTGCATCAAGCTCAGTATTTGTGGGGAAGCAAAACCCATCATAAGGAGTTCACAAGTGGATTTAGTATCTATGCACTACCTGGACAAAAGCTGATAGATGGCAAACAGCAATGCACCTGCGATTTAGTGACTTGCCCGAGCTGATAGGAAATAAAACCAACATCCCCTGCCTCCTGCTCATCTCCCATGGCCCTGAAACCCTGCATTTCTTTTATAACATTTTTCCTTGTCTTCATGAAGCAGCCAGTCTGCATATGAGCTAGACTTTACAATAGCTTCATTGCTGTTCTCACTGCTCTTTCTCCACTCTGAAGAGGTCCCACTGAGGGCACAAAACTTGTCCTTGTCCATCTTGGTAAGGAACCATCCTCAGGTTCCTTACACCATACCCACCATGTATGGCTACCCACCAACCATGGCTGCTGTTGCACACTCATCCTCTGTGCATCAACCAGTTCTCCTGAGTCGTCAGGAGAGATACTGACTGGGTCTTCAATAAAACACATGCTTAAAAGAGAGATTAAAAACGTTAGAGAGTAGAAGTGTATGCCATTAAAAAGCAGGGAACAGCCTACATGTGTACGAGTGGCAGCCTGTACAGTTTTGTCTATGGCCACGTGCTGAGCCCTTTGCTTCAGAAAGTCTGTCTCCCTTCCGCTGTGATTGGTTTTGACTGTTTGTAAGCCATGTGCCCTGACGTGCATGGAATTGTTACTATGAAAATTTGTGCTCATGCTAATAGATATAGTTTAAGATGATTGTTAGCAGAGTATAAGGCCTTATTGATTGAAAGGGACATATGGCAGGGATGGATAATGATTCACTTTGGCTGCTGGTTTGAAATCCCATTCATGGGAGGGGAGAAAAACAACATTCTCTTTTGCAATCAAACTTCGTTCTTTATGTGGCATGTTTTTCAAGCCAGGCCTTTTTACAAGGGATGCAGAGGAGAAATTTCCAGGTCTTATGGATGTGCACACAGAGCTCCTGAGTCATGCAAGGACAGGACACAGTGACAAAAGTTGAAGCTATTTTCAACCTCACTTTGAGGGAGAGGCTGGTCATGCTGCATTTCTCTTCTCCAGGACTATTTCAGTGGATTTAGTATCTATGCAACGTGGCTAACTGACAGCTTTGGGACCTGAAAAGTGGTATCTGCACAGGCCAGCTCCAGGTTGGGCAATGCTGAGAGGATACGTGGAGACTGGGCTGTAGCTCTTCCCTTTCAGTAATAGCCTTTTGGAAATAGTCCTGGCATCTTTATTGATGTTTTTTTTGGGGAGTCAACCCTTGCAGTGCTCCAGCAACATGTACTAAAGGTATGCGCTTTCCTCGAGCCTGCAGGAAAGGCACTTCACCAGTTTGTCTTCACCAGCAGGGGAAAAATGCATGTTCTTACATGGCACTAGCTAATATGAAGTAATTAACCTGAGGTAAAATCCCAGTGAAGGCAAAACAGGCAGATTATTAATACATGTGAACTGACAGAGATAAGCCCTGAGGACCACATTACTCTCGTGTGTACGTTAACAGATCCAAGTAAAGCTCAAGTTGTCTCACCTTGTTTGCCATGCATAGACTAGCAAGGCAAGAATCAACTTTTCAGTCAAGTAAAGGCAGCTCCTGATGAAGCTCGAAAGCCCCTCGCCACCTCAGAAACCAGAAACCTTTGCCCCAGAAACCAGTGGGGTTTCTGGCAGGCACGTCAGCCTTCAGGAGAGCTGTCCCCAGTGGCTTCTCTCCTCCCCATGATACTTTTGAGGAGAAGGACCACAACCCTAAGTGACATGGGCTTTTATAGCTGCCTGGCATGGCAGGATGGCTACAGACGTGAGGGTGAGGACACATGCACAGAGTTTGGTGAGTAGTCACGGTTGGCCAAGACCTGCACAGGAGGTCCTCATTGCCTCAGTGGAGAGAGGAAGCAACTGGGGGCATCTTCTTTTCTCTTAAGAGGCAGCTCCTCTCTTTTCCTTGAATAAACAGCAAGTGAAGCTGCTCTGATGTGAGTGCAGAAAAAGCTTCTGCTGTGGTTGACTAAGCAGAGGAAGAAAGGGTGACCCCAGCAAGCCCTTTCTCAGAGTGCTTTTGCAGGCTCCATCATGCAGGGAAAACCCCAAGGGACTACTCCCAACCCATCGTGCGATCAGATCATCCAGGGACCAAGCCGATGGAGGGAGAGAGTGAGATCTCTGCCCTTGTCTGTAGCCCTTCAACACTCCCTCACCCTCAGCTTGCTGTTCTAATAGTTGCATGATGTTTGGTGAGGTCTGGATGCATTTCTTGGCAATAGTCCGATGGTCGGTTCACACAGTATCCTCCTCACTACTGGAGATACAGCCCCTATATTTCCCCCCCACAGACAGAGAATGCAGTATTCCTATATAACTCTTTGGGGAACTGCTGTTTTCTAGGAATTCCTTGCAAAGAAATACTCATTTGATTGTCATCCAGCATCTATCAGCTCGTTACATGATTTCACCCGGCTCTCTTTTCCAGAGAGACGCTTCTTCAAGGCGGTCTGCAGCATGGTGGTCTCCAGGATTTGCCTCTGGTAGACAAAACAGGTATCGCTTGAATAAAATAAAACTCTGTGCAAGCAAATCAACTGAATGCCTTTCATTATACCTGTCACCGGTTTATTTACTCCATGGCCTCTCTCTTCCATAGAAGTCTTGAGTGATTTTCAGCATACTAAAACATCTGCACTCATTTTCAGAATATAACAACTGCCAATGTATGAACTCACTGTTTTCTCAGAAAGCCTATTGTTCAGTGCCCGACCCTTATTGTTTCTGTTCTCTTGTGGACAATTTACAGCGAAATCCACTTTATTTACAGTGGAAAGCAAAATATGGCAGAGTGGGACAATTGACTATAAGTCTTCAGTCAAGAGCAGCTCATTTTCGTGCATGCTGAAATGTAGTAATTTCTTGTGTTCGTTGAAATCAGTGGGAAAATTCCCATTTGAAGGCACATGTAAGGTGTGTGTCGTACTGTACACCTTCTAAAACTGGATCTAGAACACACCAACTGGTTTTTTTTGTTGGCTCACTGTGCAATCCTGCAGCAAGCACATGTGATTTAAACCCTTGTATCACTAAAATACTTAAGCATCGCTCAAATAGTTTGCTGATTAGGAAGCTTTGTGAAAGACTGAGCTGTTGACAGGTGAATCATTTGTGTCCCACCAGTGTCCCAGGCTCTACACTTGGTTTGTGGTCAACGTCAACTGCCCCTGAAGGCCTTTCTTAGACAGCTTGCCTGTGAAAGTCTTACATGGGGTCATCACATCTCAGAGATAAATACTGAAAAGCTGAAGCGTGCTATTAAGCTTCTTAAAACATTAGAAACAATCATTTCAACAGAATAGATTTAATCACACTTGTATAAAAGGTTTTCATCTTCAAAGCATTTAGCCAACATTAATTACATGTAATTGGCTTTTCTGTGTACGTCATGCAAAATGCACCTTTCATTTCACTTGTCGCTACTATCTTACCCAGGATTACTGAAAGAAAGCTGTGCCTGTTCCCTTCAGCTTCCTGAAGCCACCTGGGGCCTGGTTTTGCAAATCACAAAGGGCAGGATTTAAAATTGCAGTTGCGTGGAGTATAGACACCTCAGTTCCAGCAGGTGGTTCATGGAAAAAAAAAATGACATCTCACCTGGATGCCTTCAGTGTCACAAGCATCTCAGTTTGCTGAGAAAAATTATCCTAAAAGACTCCCTAAAGTTTTGGGACTCCCTCCTATGCCCAGGGCATGTCCCTGCCTTCCTTGAGGTCCCATCTCCTCCTGGACTCTGGCACCCAGAGCACTGTCATTCACCCCAAATGTGCCCTGTTGTTCATATCATGAGAAGGGAAGGGACCACATTTTCTGTAGTAACCCTGTCTTCAAGTATTTACTTGAAAAATTGAAGACTTGGGTCCGTTTCCTTCCTCAACCTGAGGACATCTGAAGCCCCTATCTGCCACTACCCTGTCATGCGTCAGTGAAATAACTACTACTTTCAGCAACAAGCAGCTTAAAAAAGATAATTTATTTCTAAAAAAAAAATCAAATGTTAAAATTCTGGTTCCATTTTATGGTGTGTGTAAGACAAAAATTGTTTCTTACCAAGTTAAGTATCAGGATTCATCTGGGAAATATGAGTTCCACTTGGCCATAGAAATGTTGGCTGGTATTCAGGTTCCCTAGTGTTCCGGGCTGAAAGGGAAGGATTTTTGGAAGCACTAGTCACAAAAAAACAAATTCTATCAGAAAACTTAAATCGTGATTTATTTTCTATTTCCAAAGGGAAAAAGAAAACGTATGCAAGGCTAGGTCACTGGAAATATTTCCTAGAGGTGAACATTGGATTGAGGAGAAGATTCAAAGTACGTAAGGAGCAAAACGCAACCACTAATTGTGCTCAGCCACACCACCCAAATGCAAATCAAGGACCTTCTCTGTCCAAGCTCAGTAAAGGTCTTATATGTGTCTTTGGTCTATATGGCTATCATTCAGAAAGCAATACTTCGGGAGGTGTTATACTTGTTTTTATAGGTGTATAATGCATTTTACAAGCTGGTTGTCTCTATCCCTATACATGTTCATAGCTAATAGAGCATTAAAAATGTCATTTTGTTCATTGGCTCACAAATGGATTAAAGTTTTACCTGGTATTCCTGTACTGTATTATAAGAAATAAAGGTGGTTTTCCAAAAGCCCAAGACTTTCTTAGCTTTTATTCTTAACTTTAGATGACTACAAAGGCCAGAGAACTGCGAACCTCTCAAACTGTCTTTCCCAGCCAAACGTGTGTTTTGAAAACCTCTCCATCTTTCACTGGCATGCATTAGAGACAAGGGGATGCCTGTGGTGCAGTCAGGATGAGCATAAAAGTAGTTCTGCTGTGCAAAACATAATTTAAGGTGCTCAAGGACCTAACTGGAATTATAAGGAGGTAGATTTTCAGGAAAACATTTAAGTGCAAAGTTCCAGTGCAAATGAGAATGGTATTCATAAATCAACAAGATTCTTTAAAAATCCCACACACAGCCATCCACCTTCAGTAGCTGGAGTGGTTGTTTATTTTGCAGACATCTTCACAATTCCACTCTCAAGTTTATAATTCAGCTAGTGGTAATGTAGTTCTGTCAGACAACTCCCACCCTTGAAGTTAAGTAAATGGTTAAGTGCTTTATTGGCTCACAGCTAGAAGACTCTCCACCTTGCAGGATTGAGCCCTGTAATCTATTCATATTTCCTTTTTAGCTTCTGCAAGTAACCCCAAACAAGCTGGAAACACTAAGTGCAAAGTTAAGGGAGATGACGGTGGCAATTTCTGAATGACAAGAGCATTTAAAGGAAATGTCAAGAGTCTGTGGGCTGCAAGCTTTTATGTTTCAAGGAGAAACAAGAAGAAAGGCGGGACAATAAATCAAATGCAACAGCTTAGCGTGCTCCATATCTGAGAGTTAACCTCTTGAAAGCCATGTCCCCAACATGGAGAGGGCCACGTTCCTTTGATGGGGTCCTTTATTTCTGTGAAAGCAGTGGAAGTGGCAGCTCAGGCTCTGCCATGCGTGCCCAAGGGCTGTGCAACTCTGCTTTGCCTGACATGTGCTATGCATTTATGAGTTAACATCAAACATGAGCTGATTTACAATTTTTAATCAAAAAAGGATTAGAACCTAATAAATCCTAATAACATATTCTGTCCAGAGGTTATGTGATGTATAATACAGTGGTAGCCTGTTCCCCTGGGTCTTAAACACCGGGTAAAGTTTTTGTGCTTATTGGTAAACTGCTCGGAAATGTGTAAATGGCCCTAGCTCTGGATGGAGCCTTTCCTCCTATCACAGGTTTTGAAGTACCTTCACAGAAAAACACAGACAAGCATGCAGCATCCCTGTAAACTATATGACTCCTCTCTTCTCTTACTTCAAAGGCTGCGTGTGCTGGCTAAGTGCTGTATATTGGTAGTTATCTAGCTTAATCTAAGCATTAAATGTGTCTAACACATCTGTGATGAAGGTCAGAGCTTTGAGCCCTAAAGAGCCCTCAGTGATGAACTGCTGTAGGCTAAGGGTCAGTTTGTAAGGGGTCATCATTTTCTAACATTAAAAAAATAAAGATCATACAAAGCAGTAATTAACCCACTCCATTGGATTTCCCGGGTTTTGGATGTCCCACCCAGACGGACAGGTATCATCAAGAAGAATTCATAAGTAAGCCAGACTATCTGTTTATCACAGGGGATTTCTGAGCCTTATGTTCCCAAAGACTGATCATGTCTACAATCCATACTCTGCCTTCCAGCAAACGACTGTGGTGGAAGAACATTTCTGCTTCCCAGGAGACCTAATTAACATTACAAGACTAATGGAGACTAAGCGTAAAGAATTTTCTAAAAGTTCTTTGATTGCAATGCCATTTTAAAAGCGTTCCCTCCCCTGCTCTTTGTTTGCACACAATAGCTGAAACGCCACAGTGGGGATGTAGCAGAGGTCAAGAGGCCCAGGGTATTTTCAAATTAGTTTTTGCCATCTTACTGTTGTCTCATGCTTCCCTGCCCTGTTGTCCTAGATGTGCCCTGCACCTATCTGTTCTTTTAGCCTCCTCCTACAAGAACTTTACAGCCAGGGATGGTCCCTTTGTCCGTATGCCTGTTCTTGTCATGATGGAGCTCAACTGGTGGTCAATGAGCAAGAGCTCAACAAAAACTGAAGTCTGCTCCATCTTCCACTGCTACAGAGGAAGAGTCTCAATAGGGGTCTAGCAAAAGTTGCAGTTATCTCCAAAGGGTTTAGAGCAACCAAGGGAAGTTTTCCAAACCAGACAAGTCTCCAAACCAACCAGGTCATGGCAGGATCAACCAAGTCTATCTCCATAAGAACTATTCTCAGTCTCAGGTATGGAGAATGTGGAGGGAGCAACTACTACAAATGATCCTCTTGCAGCTCTTCCCTTTGAACAATTTCTTAAAGAAAACTATAACCTTGAGGACACATACCTGGCAAAGATGGTTCTGGATCTTGGCCTTTTTTCTCTAGGCTATTGCTAAAACTCTTAGTTTTTACAGGGCTCCAATCAAACAAGCCTAGCCGACAGACTTCAGCTGCAATCATAATATTCATTATGGGTGCTTTGCTATAGGTCATGTACCTGGAAATTCACACCCTTTTACCTTAATCCCTTGCTCTTCAAAGGATCCCAAAGTACAGTTCCTTCCACTGGAAAGAGGGCAGACAAAGGGTGTCATCTGTGCTTGAAAGCCTGCAAAGAGGGTTTTTCTTTTTCTTTATCTCTCCCTCCCTAGCTCGGAGGAAACTATTGGCTTTAATTTTTATTGTACTAGCCTGATTGTATAAATATAATAAAAGAATCTGCCCAGAGACTCTAAATTCCTCTTTTGGGATACAATAGCCCTGCTTTCACAGAGTCCTTAAAATTGAGGATGAAAGGGGTGTCTCTCTCCCCATCTAGGCCCAGATTCCCTCATTTCTTCTTTCCACAGTTCAAAAACATCTTCTGCTCTCCATT